CTTCTCCTCTTCTTTTTTTCCCCTCCTCCTAGTCCTCCCTTTTCTTCTTGCCAGTGGCTTCTCAGAGTTGTCTAGTTTCATGTTTTCTCTTTGGCTTGGCAGAATTTATGTTCTTGCACTATACTACATCAAGTATTTCTTCCTTTTCGGTTTTCACAGCCTACCTCAGGAGTTCTTGACTGTTCTTGTAAATAAACCCTTTGAAGACCACAGTTCCTTCTCAGAATGTTTTTAAATAAATAAAATACAATCAATAAGATTTTGGAGGAAAGCAATTATATAAAATACAATTGTCAAAACATATGCTAAGGGCCTGGGAAGGTGGCTCAGTGGTAGAGTGCTTGCCTTGCATGCATGAAGCCCTGGGTTTGATTCCTCAGTGCCATATAAGCAGAAAAAGCTGGAAGTGGCACTGTGGCTCAAGTGGTAGAGTGCTAGCCTTGAGCTGAAGAGCTGAGGGACAGTGCCTAGGCCCAGAGTTCAGGCCCCATGACTGACAAAAACAACAACAACAACAAAGGAATATTTGTGATATGGCAATATATACATGTGTGTGTGTGTGTGTGTGTGTGTGTGTGTGTGTGTGTGTGTGTGTGTAAGTATTGACAGGCTTGAGTTCAGGCCTCATGCTCATACTTGTCTGTTTTGCTCAAGGTTGGTGCTCTACAATTTGAGGTAGAGCTCTACTTTTGGCCTTTTGGTTTTTGGTCCTGAAGCTTGAACTCTGGGCCTGGGTGCTGTCCTTGAGCTTTTTTGCTCAAGGTTAGCACTCTACCACTTGAGTCACAGATCCATTTCTGGATCTTTTTGTAGTTTATTGGAGCTGAGAAACGGCTTTCCTGCCAGGGCTAGCTTTAAACCATGGTCCTCAGATCTCAGCCTCCTGAGATCACCTGGCTTTCTTCTAGCTTTTTGCTGGTTAGTTGGAAACATGAGTCTCATGGCTAGCTTTGAGCTGTGATCCTCAAATCTCAGCCTCCTGAGTATCTAAGATCATAGGCATGAGCCACCAGTGCCTGATTATATGCTTCTTTATTTTTGTTTTTATTGTTTTGAAGGCTGACAGTTTATTGCATTTTCATGTTAACAAACACCACACGTTGAGGTTTTTAAAATCGTGTTTTTCCTTTTCCTTCACGGTATCAAAGTCTCATTCAGCATGCCATGGTTCATGATTCTGACAAGAAGAAAATGAAAGTAAGTGGAAACTCTTCCGGTACCGTCTGCTTTAACACCAACCCTGCTTACAGCCACGGCCACCCATCTCTGTGAACTATTCCTACCTTCTTTACTGTGTGTTTGTCCTGTTCAAGATGTGAGTCTCTGTAAAGGAATGCTCCCCTATTGGCAGGTACAGACATTCAAAATAGTCATTTTGATTCTCTGTTCTAGTCTGTTTTCCAAGGTAAAACAATCTCCTGAAAAACAGAGCTTGGCATCTTATCTCAGTGGATACATCCCTCCTAAAGTGAAACAAGGAAAAGATTCACCTTTGTCTCAGGATGAAGAGTCATATATGCTTCTTTATTACTGCCTTAAGTAATATAGTCTAGTAGTGAGAGTGGCCTAGTAACTGTAACATCTACAAATGCTCAATTGCACGCTGCCTTGCCATCTTCCTGCCTACCTGCTTTGTTTTCTCTTGGCTGTTCAGAAGCCTGGAAAAGGTTTGCCCAGTGTACTTGCTCCACTAGCTTTCTTCTCTTAACTCAACTGAGAACATTTTTCAGCACTTTTTGTCCCATTTTTTTCCCTCACGTTTTACCACTCCTCCGTTCATGTCATCTCTGACTTCTTGCCTTTGCCTCCTAGAGTTCCTGCCTGCTTAGCCCCCTCATTTTCTACACTGCAGCTACTCAGGAGGCTGAGATCTGAGAAACCCAGGTGGAAGACAGCTGGGGCAGGAAAGTCCATGGGATTCGCATCTCCAATTAAGCAGCAAAAATCCAGAAGTAGAGCTGTGGTTCAAGTGATAGAGTGCCAACCTTGAATGAAAAAAAAAAACAAAACTAAGGGACAGTACCTAGGCCCTGAGTTCAAGTCCTAGAACTGGCACACATACACACACACACAACTAACTCTACTTGTGTCTAGAGAACTGCTGACATTCCCTTGTACACAGAAATCCCTGCCCAGGTTATATAGAGAGAAATTCCAGCTCCTGAGCTCCATACAATCCGAGCAAGGAAAGCTTTCAATGGAGGCTTGTTTAATCCAGTCACCAGTTAAAGACAGAGAGCTGCTTTTTCCTACAGCTCCCAGGCCCTCCCCTGGGATTCCCAAGTCCCTAGTTCTCGCTCACCTCTCTAATTAAACAGGCGTTTCCTCAAGCACTTAACATTCAGAAAGAAAGAAAAGGTTTCAGTCCATGGTATTGCTTTTGTTTTGCAATGGGTCTTTTCTCACCACAATTTCTTCATTGTAATTGTGTGGGACAATTAGATTTTGTGTGTCCTGGGAGGGGCTGAAGAGGGAAGGGGTGAGAATGAGAGGCTTTCAGAAAACTGAGCATTGGAGCATGAGCAGTATTTCAAAGTGGTGAAGCTAATGAACAAATCAGTCTAAAGTCAACGTGTTTGCCTGTGTGGGGGCTGAGTTCCCAGCTTTGTCTAGCTCCATTGGGACCTTTCTCTCTCTACTTATAACTGCCTGTAATGGTTTCTTTGTGGGACTTTTTTTTTCCCCACCAGATACGTCAAGGAAAATAGAACTTTGTGAATAATATGTTAGGGACTTATTAACAGCTACATTTTCCATTTGACATTTTATATGCTAACACAGATGAAAGGCCCTGAAAAGTCCTGCAGAAAGAAGCTCATTAAATATGTGTAACTCAATCTTCTCCGAATCTTTGACTATAGAAATCTTTTATTTAGGTAGTGTGTGTGTGTGTGTGTGTGTGTGTGTGTGCGTGTGTATGTGTGTGTGCGCACGCGCACGCATGTAAAATCTACAAATTAAGTACCCCTTATCCTCAATGCTTAGTATCTGAAGAATTTCAGAGTTCAGGGTTTCTCAGATTCTGGAATATCTGTATATGTACAGTGACATACCTTGGAGGATGACACCTCAGTCTAAACATATTTTTTGTTTCATATATATCTTGCATATATGGGTAATTTTGCACAATATTTTTTTTCACTGATGCCCAACTTTATTCATTTTTTCCTCCTTTACAGTCTTGGAATTTACACTCAGGGCCTCATGCTTGGAAGGCAGGTCCTTTACCAGTTGAGCCATTTACATAGTAGTTATTTTCAGATAAGTTCTCATGTTTATGCGAGAAAGATGAGACCTATGCCACAATCCTCCTTGGTTTGGTTGCTGAGTAACTGCTAGCTATCGGTTGAGATGAGGTCTTGTGAACTGTTTTTTGCACAATATTTTAAAGAATTTTTTAATTAAATGAAGTTTCATGCTGTGGAGTTTTCCATGTATGACATTGTGTCTAAAAATGGTTACAGGGCTGGGAATGTGGCTTAGTGGTAAAATGCTTGACTAGCATGCATGAAGCCCTGGGTTCCATTCCTCAGCACCACAAAACAGAAAAAGCTGGAAGTGGCCCTGTGGCTCAAATGGGAGAGAGCTAGCTTTGAGCAAAAGAAGCTCAGGGACAGTGCCCCCAACCCTGAGTTCAAGCCCCAGGATTGATAAAAAAAAAAGAACAACAATAAACAACAAAAAACCTTTTGCATAGCTGGGTGCCAGTGGCTCACACCTGTAATCCTAGCTACATATGATGCTGAGATCTGAGGATTGTGGTTTGCAGCCAGCCCAGGCAGGAAAGTCTGTGAGACTCTTATCTTCAATTAGCCACCAAAAAGTTGGAAGAAGATGAATGGCTCAAGTGGTAGAGCACTAGCCTTGTGCAAAAAAGTTCAAAGACAGAATCCAGGCCCTAATCAAGCTCCAGGTCTGGCACAGGGTTTGCACTTGGATTGTTGAGTTCAGAAAGCCTAGCTTGCATTAACAGTATGCAAAAAGATGCCATAGAGAAAATATCATCTTGTATTGTTGTGAAGAGAAGTTGGATTGCTAGATAAAGAATCCAGGACCTCTCCCTGGGTTGTTTGGAGTGGACAGAGCTGGAACTAGGACTCCCCCATACTTCCCCCAGCAAGAGGAGCTATGTGGAGCCACCTTCCTATCAGATAGCCATCTGAAACTCCAGTGTTTGTCTGCTTGGAGTAAGGCTACTCGCACATTCACTGTATGTGACAGGAAGGCCAGCATTGCGTGGCTCCTGGGACTCTTAGCTGTAGCCCAGCCCAATCTTGCTTCTCTGTGGCACCCGTATGCTTGCTGATCTTCTGCAGTGGCAGAAGTGACTCTTGCTGGTGTTTGTCTTGAGCCTGTTAGAAGATCCTCATGAACTCCTGCAAGGACTTGTTTTCTTACTGTCCAACATTTCCTTATTGGAACTGTAACCTTCAGAGGACCAGAGACACCATCTAACCCTTTGTCTCCTCTGCTATCTGCCTCTGTGCTGAGCCCATGTAAACACCTAGGGCATGGCTGGCTTGAGGATGAGCAAATCAATAATCCTGCATGTTGCACAGTCTCATGAAGGGAAGAAAAATGACAATGTTGCAAATCCCTTAATTCATTAGCAAAGTCTTCTTAAGTCTTCTTCCTGTTTGGAGCAGCCTAGGGAAGACGCTGAGGGAGAGGAGAGTAAGCAGCAAAATGTACACCTCTGTGTGAAGCGCAGCGTTCCCAGAAGACTTAGAGCAACTGTCAAAGTCCGCGATGTGTCCATTTTTATTAGTTCTGATGGCGATGTGATATCGTTAGTGATTCCAGTCTCATCTTCACACTGAGATCATCCGAACAACGTAGGTAAAGGGAGGGAAGAGCAGAGATGAGGCATCGTCAGACAGTCCTGGAGCTGACCATATAAATCCAGGAGGAAGAAAGGCACAAGAGCCTGGCCTTCTAGCTTGCCAGTCACCAAGGCATCAGATCAGGGCAGTGTTGGCTTTCATTCATCCCCAGTGGCCATGAAGGGTGTCATGCAAGTTTGGGTCTTTCTCCTCTTAGTCACCGTGTCTGATTGTGCTGTGATCACAGGGGTAAGTCTCTAGCATTCTCTATGTCTGGGTTTCAGGACAATGTCAGTGTCTGCATGGGACATGTACCTGGGAACCAACAGAGCAAGGGGAGAAGTGTGGAGTGAAGGGCAGGAGAGGGTGTGTATCTAGAGGATGCAGGAGTAGCCATCAGATACTTTCTCTCTTAGAGAGGGGCTGCATGTGATCTTCAGACCACTTCAATCCCACTGTTGAACATGGATGGCTTTGGAAAAGCTGTGTATTAATCAAATTATTTAAAGTGCACTAGGAGAGTACTGAGAACTCTGAAGTTCAGTCTTTTGGTAAAATGAAGACTTTTTTTCTTTTCTTTTCTTTCTTTTTTTCTTTTTTCTTTTTCTTCTTTTTTGCTGGTCCTGGGGCTTGAACTCCAGGCCTGAAAGCTGTCCATGAGTTTGGGTGCTCAAGGCTAATACTCTACCACTTGAGCCACAGCTCCACTTCCAACTCTTTTTGTAGTTTATTGGAGATGAGTCTCACTGATTTTCCTGCCCAAGTTGGCTTCAGACCATGGTCTTCAGATCTCAGCCTCCAGAATAGTTATGCACGAGCCAGCAAGATCCCTGTTTTCTAACAAGGAATTCTTTTGCAAAGTGGATTAGTAACCCTGATTTTCTCTTTGTGCCAGTACTAGGGCCTAGAAAGCTCACTTTTGAGTTTTTGCTCAAGGCTGCTGCTCAACCTCTTCCAGATTTTTTGCTGGTTAATTGGAGATAAGGGTGTCATGGATTTTTCTATTCAGGCTGGTTTCCATCTAGAAGCCTCATAGTTAGAGGCTGCATAGTTAGAATTATCATGCCTCAGACACCAGCATCCAGTTTCTAGTTTATCTTCTGTGTGCATCTTGTGCTGTCTGGTTCACAGGGCTATTGGGTTGGCCAAAGGCCATGGGCTCTGGCCGTGTTTGCATCACATCATCTCTGCTGCCTCCTAGAGATGCTCAAAACACCTCCTTCATTTCATGCCCAGTGAGTTTTTCAGGAAGCATAGGGGACACCAACATTGGCTGATTACACCCTAGCAATGGAGGGGTAGAAAGGCAGTCTTCATAGCATATTTCAGTGTCCCAACACTTGGGGTGGTGGTGTCCCCTCAGATTTCTGGCAGTGCCTTGCACCCCTTTTGGATGGGCACAGATTGTATTATGGTGGCAGGGCTACCTTTATTAAAACCAAAAGCACTGCTTTAACCTAAGAATTTCCTAGCTAAGAGTCCAGAGAGAGAAAGAGAAAGTGGCCTGGGGCGGGGGGGGGGTGGAATGGATTAACTTTTATTTCAACTTCCTTCTGCTTTTGGCATTGAGAAGGAAAATATGGAGTAATGACAATGCCTGAAATCAGATTTGTTTTAATGCTTCTAGAAAAGACAACTTCTTTCTCCTTTTCAAAAGAAAGCGACAGCGTTCAAAAGAACAATCATTAAGTTTTGGGTCCCCAGAGTAACAGGGTGAAGGCAGAATTACATATAATAAGCATGAACCTTGGCTGCTGGCTGCTGGTGGTATGGCCTGAAAATGAAGAGGCAGGTCAGAAGTCACGGATGCCTGGCAGGGCCCGATGAGAGGCCCTGGATGTTCAGGTCAGCTTCATAGAGACAGCCTGGACACTCGAGCCAGGCAGACAGGTCTGAGGGAGGAGAAAGAGCACTTACACAGGTGAGCACAATGAGGGAGAGAGCTAGGAGGGCTCAGAGGAAATGTGTGGCTGGATGAGGTGAGTTATTCGAGCAGGGCATTGAGCAAAGCAGGAGAGCCCAGCCACGCACCTGTGCCACGCTCTGCAGCTGTCTCTCAGAAAGAGACCAGATTTGACACCTTCATTACTCCTTACTCCTGGATGGTGATTTCTAGGCCTTATGTCTCTTCCAGTGGGGGACACTGTATCCCATGCCTGCCAGAAACCAAGAGTCAAACAGGGTCTACTTCCCCCCAACCATTGGCTCTTAAGGGGCTGCTGGGGTGGAAGCTGGGGCCCTCACTGAACTGGAAATGGGCAGCCATATTGTCACCTGCCTCTCCTTCTCTTGATGAAGAGAATTGATATCCTCTCCCCCCTCCCCCCCATCCCCCCCCTCCCCCCCCCCCCCCCCCCCCCCCCCCCCCCATGAAATGAGAAAGTAGAGAGCTGGGCAGGAACCTGTCATGGGCAGGAACCGGAAACTTCTGGTTCCTTCCTGGGCAGCCTGAAAATTTTCCAAGAGCAAATCAGAACCCAGCTTTGAGTCTCAGCTCAGTTGGGACACACGGCTGCTTTCAGGAAGGAAGGGGTAGCTTGGAAGGTTCTCTGTCACGTTCACTTGAGTCTGAAGCAGCTCACAGGTGCATGTTCCTAACCTTAGCTTTTGTGTACAATGGCCTTGTGTGGCTTTGGGTGGCCTGCTTGACCAAATCAGGCAAGGCCACACCATATGGCCTAGTCTAACTGTATTTGGAGGCCAGCAGAGAAGCACTGGGGAGAGACACATGGTTACTGGGCTTCTAGAGGCTGGATGCTAAGTGGAGATGAACCCCATCCCAATGCTGGATGATGACAGATACTCTACTGAGTCCTCAGCACCCTGCCCAGGAGGGGAGCAGGGGCTGTAAAGCATAGCCCAAGATGCCCTGGTTAGGCTGAGTCACTCAGCTGCTTCCTCTCTGATGCTGGCAAGGCCTTTTAGGGTCCATCATGGGCACTAATGGACTGTCCCCTCTCACTCTTACCCCTGCAGGCCTGTGAGCGGGATGTCCAGTGTGGCACCGGCACGTGCTGCGCCATCAGCCTGTGGCTTCGGGGGCTGAGGATGTGCACCCCATTGGGACGAGAGGGAGAGGAGTGCCACCCGGGTAGCCACAAGGTATCAAGCTGGCCACCATGGGGGCACACATGTGAGCCAGCCAGGGGATCCTGGGGCCTGGCTTCAGCCAGGACTGCAGAGTTGGAGGCTCCTGAGGCTAGTGTGAGAGAGGGCAACTCAGATGCAACCCCTGACTATCAGAGAGGGAGCAGGTAGCCATGAGTGCTACTGTTTGCCCTCAGCAGGCAGCATTGTCCACCTCCAGACTTGTAGACAGGCTGGAGAACCATGCTTATGGACTTGATCTTTTCAGAAATCCTGGGTCACGGTGGGGGAACTGAGGCACAGCCAATAGGCCAGTGGGATTGGAACCGCAGATTTCCTTGCTAGATAGCCCAGGCTGGCCTGGAACTTGACACTGCTGCCTCAGCCTTCCAAGTCCTAGTTCACAGGTGTGTGCTACAACATCTAGCTTTCTGGAACTACAGGTGTCTGATGTCAACTCTAGTTGTAGCTCACTGATGTTGCAGTGTCCAGCACACAAACTCTTACACTTGGGGACTGGATATCTTGAACCCTTTATTTGCTGTGTGGTCTTGGGCAATTAGCTTAACTCGGAGTCTCATGTATACATTGAAGGGAGCAGACCTCTCAGTCTAAAGTGTCTTGTATACTAGACAAATTCAGATGTGGGGTGTGTGTGTGTGTGTGTGTGTGTGTGTGTGTGTGTGTGTGTGTGTGTGTGTGCGCGCCAGTACTGGGGCTTGAACTCAGGGCCTCATATTGTTGCTCAGGTTTTTGCTCAAGAGTGGTACTCTACCACTTCTGCCACATCTCCACTTCTTGCACTTTGTTGGTTAATTGGAGATAAATGTCTCTTGTATTTGTCTGCTAGGGCTGGCTTTAAAACTCCATTCTCAGATAATTCTCCATTCTCAGTAATCCTAGCCAATGCCATAGGCACCCAGCTCAAATTCATATTTTGAATGGATGCCTTTCCTTCCTTCCTTCCTTCCTTCTTCCTCCCTTCCTTCCTTCCTTCCTTCCTTCCTTCCTTCCTTCCTTCCTTCCTTCCTTCCTTCCTTCCTTCCTTCCTTCCTTCCTTCTCAGGACCTGGGCTTTGTCTTTGAACTCTTGCTCAAGGCTAGCACTCTACCATGTTGAGCCATGGCACTACTTCTGGTTTTCTGGTGGTTAATTGGAGATGAGAGTCTCATGGACTTTCCTGAGTAGCTAGGATTATAAGTGTGAGCCACCGGCACTTAGCCCCTTTGCTTTCTTGAGATGCTCACAAAATGGCCTCCTATAGAAGGTTGGAGCAGAGTAAGACAAATTGAGAAGGCACTCATACAAAGGGTGAACAAATACAGCAGTGGTACTCATTAGACACTGTTGAAAATGAATTTGTGAGTGGGGAAGGGAGGGAAAACTGGATGAGAGTGAGGGAAGGGGTGACACTGTTCAAAAAGAAATGCACTCATTACTAGACTTATGTAACTGTAATCCCTCTATATACATCTTTATAAAACAATTTAAAAAGATAAAAGAAGGCACTTATTCCTCCAAATTCTAAATGTTCTAACTCCAGCTCTGTTTCTGGCCCCCGTTAGTTCACAGCTTACAGAGCTCAGTAAAACGAAGGAGTCTCTACTGTTGGAGAGCCAGGGAAAGCCTGGGGATGTAGCTCCAGTGGTAGAGCACCTGCCTAGCAAATGCGAGGTCCTGCTAATCAAATCCCAGTATCCTCAGGACCAGGCAGGGCCTTCATGGGGCCAGGCCTTCACTGGGGCTTACCAGATGCTGCCAGCCAGGGCTCAGGTGTCTTATTTGCTGCTGGTGATTTCCCTTGACAGGCCCTTGTGCTCATGTATGTTCAGAGAATCTTCCGCCAGTCTTCCTTCTGATCCTGGCCTCCCTCTCACTTCCCTCTGGAGCTGAGGAAACTGAAGAAGTAGTCATGGTCAGCCTTTGCTACTTTGGATGTGTGAGGCAGACACAGTGGGGACCGCTGTAGTGATAAAAATAAATTCTTAGTGTTTCCTTCTTGAATTTTCATACTAGGCATCCTTTTTTAGGTGCTGGTCCTAAGGCTGGAACTCAGAGCCCTCAGTGCTATCCCTGAGCTAGCCACTTCAAAGCTAGCTCTGATGCTCAAGGCTATATTTCTATCACTCACACTCAAGGCTAGCACTCTACCACCAGTTTTGTGGGGGCAGTTTATTGGAGATAAGAGTCTCACAGACTTTCCTATCTGGCCTGGCTTCAAACTATGATCCTCAGATCTGACCCTCCTGAGTATCTAGGTAGGATTACAGGTGTGAGCTACCAGCACCCAGCCCTAGACTTTTTGTACACATATACTTTTTTTTTTAAAAAAACAACCATTGCATGGTAACTGCAATGAATCCATTTTACAGGCAATAAAGTTGAGACACAGCAAGGCCAAATAGTCGAATGTCATTCAGCTAGGAAGCTTCAGACCTGGGAAGCAATCAGACCAGGGAGTCTGGTGCTGGACCTATGTTCCTGCTTCTTCTATTCAAGCCCCAGAAGCTTGACATTCCGATAGCATGTGGGCTAGAGGGCAGGCATGGGGCCTGTCACTTGGCATTCATACCAGGGGCACCCACAGAGCCGGCCACTGGTGGCTCATGAGTATCATTCTAGCTACTCAGAAGGTTGAGTTCTGAGGATCAAAGTTCAAAGCCAGCTCAGGAAGAAAAAAACAAAAACCTCTTATCTTTAATTAACCAGTCAAAGCTGGAAGTAGAGGTGTGTCTCCAGTGGGACCTTGAGTGGAAAAAGCCAAGCAAATGCTTAAGTCCCTGAATAGCAAAAGTTTATTGGAGATAAGAGTCTCACAGACTTTCCTATCTGGCCTGGCTTCAAACTATGATACTCAGATCTGACCCTCCTGAGTATCTAGGTAGGATTACAGGTGTGAGTCCCTGAAAGAAAGCAAAGGGGCATGTGTGGAGAGTTTGTGGGCACAGGGGCGCCGGGGCTGGGGAGCCAGGCTGCTTGGGTACAAGTCCCAGCTCCTCTCCAAATGTGTTGTGTGCTGTTGGTGTGTGGCTGTCACCATGCTCCTTGGCTTTACCCATCTGTCACTACCCTCATCACTGTGTTAGCTGGGGGAGGGCCGGGGAGACTAGAGCTCCTGTGGGAAGTTCGCTTCCCGGTGACTGGTAACCCTGCCTCTCTTCTCTCCTCAGCTCCCTTTCTTTAGGAAGCGCCAGCATCACACCTGTCCCTGCCTGCCCAGCCTGCTTTGTCTGAAGTTCTCGGATGGCAAGTATCGCTGCTCCATGGATTTGAAGAACATCAACTTTTAGGAACTTTCTGGGCTCTGGACACCTCACCGGGTCTCTTCTTGAGCATAGTCTGGAATGGTCTCTTGTGGATTTTTGTTTCTACCATGCAACTTAGTTCTCCCAACTTGCCCAAACCGTACACTGAGCCCCCCGGAGTCCTCCTCCCCCCATGCATACACAGGCATCCAAGGGGACCCACCTCCCACTGTGGCATGGCCCATCTGATGGAGGGTGTCCAGCGTGAAGCCAAGGCTATGAGAGGTGGCCAGTTTGTTCCTTGTTCAGGAGGACTGAGAGCTTGAGAATGGAGGAAAGGATATGGCTGTCATCCTCACCCAACCCCACTCCCCTGCCCTGCCCCTGTCCTGCATGTGCCCTGCCTTCTGAATCAGATATTCTCCAGCACTGGCCTTGGAGTGCTTTGCTCAGAGGGTTGGAAGGACCAACATGAGGGTTGTTCACTTTCTTGGAAAGTGACTTGGAAAGAACAGGCTCCACAGAGGGCAGAAGCCAGGCATCGGGGGAGCCAGAGAGCTCAACCAACCCCCAGTGTGCAGGTCCTAGTCAACCTGCGACCTATGACCTATCACCTGTGACCTTCAGCCTTCCCACTAGGCAAGCATTTCAATGTCTTTAAAGCTTTATCCAACACCCTGACTCCTTTGCCAGTGGAGTGTTCAGCTCCCACCCCTCTGCACTTAGAAGGTAATTAGGGAGACAACTTTAAATAGCGCCTTTGTAAGGATCAACCCCAGAGAGCAGGTCTGCCACCTGGAGGTGGGCTTCCCTCTGCCAGGCTGAAGATAGAAGAAAAAGTGGGGCCGGGCTTGATGCTAGGCTAGGAAGACACTCTAACACACACACACACACACACACACACACACACACACACCCTATGCTTTCCTCCTCTGCTTCAGAATAAAAAGAGCAGCCAAACTGAGATGTGTGGTTGTGCTGTGTCCGCGACTGCTTGCAGCAGGGGTCCCTGCCTATGTGAAACCAGACTGTGCGTGACCAGGAAAGGGAGAGGAGCGATGGATGAGTGGCTCTCCTGCCACTCCTGCCAGGGAAGTGTTCAGAACGAGTAGGTTTCAGTGAGTCTTTGAATGAGGGGCCAGAGGTGACTCAGAGGGTAGGGAGGGGGCTCTTGGGGTCTGGTTGTAACTATCATTTCTGAAATTCACTTCTGGTGGCTTTATGGCAAATACTTTGACCCCACCAGGCCACAGAGCATCCCCCTGCACAGAAGATGCTGGTCCTGTGGCCTCTTCCTCCCCTCAATTCTTATTCTAGAAAATTATGTTATATCTCACCCCACCTTACTTCTCAGGAGATTATGCTCCTGTCCCTGAGAGTTCATTCTATATTTGTCCTCCATCCCTTCTTCCCCTTGCTGCTCAGCTCTCCATTTTCCTTCCTTCCTTCCTTCCTTCCTTCCTTCCTTCCTTCTTTCCTTTTTCCTCCCTTCCTTCCATCTCCCCCCTCCTTCTCCCTCAATCCCTTCCTCCCCTCTGTCTTTCTTTTTTGTGCTTGTACTGAGGTTTGAACTCAGAGCCTAGGCACTACCTCTTAACTTTTCTGCTCCAGGCTGGCTCTCTACTACTTGAGCCACAGTTCTGCTTCTTGCTTTGGGGGTGGTTAATTGGTGATGGGGGTTTCATGGATTTTTCTGCCCAGGCTGGGTTTGAATCACAATCCTCATCTCTCAGCCTCCTGAGTAGCTAGGATTACAGACATGAGCCACCAGCGCACGGCCTTTCTTTGCTTTTGTTCCCTCTGACAGACATGGTCACTGCTGTGCTGACGTGTGCAGGTCTTCTTCCTGCAGCACACATATCTCTTTTGCTCTTGGTCTCAGGCTCAGATCTTGGATCTCAAGATACTGCTGTGTGCCACCAGGTTCCGATTTTGGAGGCCATTTCCAAAGTGTTCCCCCGCCATGAAAACAGAGCCACCTGAGTGGGTAACTAAGTTGGTGCTTTGGGAGGAGACATCAAAATGTCTGAGCCTCCTGCCACACTGCCATGCCTCTCTCCCCCTCCACCCAGGAGCAGCCAACCGTAGGCTCATTGATGTGCAGAACCACCGATTGAGTCTATTTTTTCATCTTGTAAATGTGAGGACTGCATAATTGGTCTCTGCCCCAGATTCCTGCTGCTGTTGCCGAAGACTGAAGGGCATACAAAAAGGAGTAGGAGACTAAGAAAAATATTTGTGAATGTTCTTTATATTTAGAACTATGCTGTTTATAAATCTAGCTATAAAAAGAATCTGCTTATTAGAACGATATATCCCCGAGACAGATATATTCTAGGAAATAAGATCAGGTGAAGACCACATTCTTTCAAGATCCACCCACATGGGTATTAGCCTATTTGACCCCAATCTTTCATTCTCAACTGCCGGTGTCTTGTGCCCTCTGGTGGTGAACGTGAGGATAGCAATAAGGGCTGAGATGGACAAAGGAAGGCAGAAGAAACCACAGAGTTCCAGAAACTACTACCTCACTCAGCCCCAAGAGTCAGTCTGGAGAACTTGGTGAAAACATATTAACACACACACACACACACACACACACACACACACACACACACACACACACACACACCATACCTGCAGATAGGAAGGAAGGCCCACAGTGGCCTGGGACTTGTTTTCTGTTTAGTTGTCTTTCGTGACACCTTCACAGATCAGGATTGAGAAAGCAAGCAAAGAACTATCTTCAAACAAACAGCAGTTCCCTCATTCCTGATGAGTAGACCAGTGAAATGTGCCATTTAAGCTTGGAACATTTTTGGTATTGGGGTTTGAATCTAGGATCTTGTGCTTGCTAAGCAGGTATTCTATTGCTTGAGCCACACTTCTCTAGTCCAAGCCTGAAATACTATTCAGTCCTATAAATGAAAGAAGTACTGATAGATGCTACAACATAGATGACTATGAAACATCATGCTGAGTAATATAAGGAAGCCAATCACACACACCCATATCTCATTGCATTTATGTGAAATACCCACAATGGGGAAATCTACAGAGATAGAAATTACATTAGTAGCTGACTAGGGTTGCAAAACAGAATAGCAGCAAAAAATATGGGGAATCAGGCAAGGTGTAGTAATGCAAATCTGTAAAACTGGCTTCTTGAGAGATGGGGATCAATGAATCCCAATGTGGGAATAGCCTTGGTCAAAAAGAAAAAAAAGAAAAAAATGGCAAGACTCTCTTTTTTTTCTTTTGGTTGATCATGGGGTTTGAATTCTGAGCCTGGGTGCTGTCCCTCAGCTCTTCAGCTCAAGGTGAGCGTTCTACCAGTTGAGCCACAACACCACTTCCAGTTTTCTTGTGGTTAATTAGAAATAAGAGTCTTATGGGCTTTCCTGCCAGGGCTGGCTTTGAACCCTGGTCCTCAGATCTCAGCCTCCTGGGTAGCTAGGATTACAGGCGTGAGCTGCCTGTGCCTGGCTGCAGGATGCTATCTTGACCAATATCTAAGAATGGCAGTTGTGCTTGTCATCCTAGCAATGTGGGAAAGTACAAATAGGAGGACTGAGGTCCAAGCCTGCCTCCAATTGCAATCCTCCTACTGTGCCTCCTGTATAGTTGGAATTATCAAGATGCCTGCCTTGTTGGCTGAGACGGAGTCTCCAGAACTTTTTGTCCCAGATAGCCTTGAACTGTGGTTCTTCCAGTCTCTGACACCAGAGTAGCTAGGGTAACAGTCATAAGCCGTTGTGCCTAGCCCTGCTGGACAACTTTTGGAATAGCATACTGTGTTTTGGATACGAAAAGAAATCCCTTGGGGGCAGGATGAACGCACTCTATCATATACTCTTCAGTTTGGGGTTCAGTATTGCGACTGAATCTTTTTGTGTGTGGGTGTGACTGTACCTTGAAGTGTGAGGAATGGTTTTGTTTTCCCACAGGGGTCCCTACCTCCCTTGGTGGGCACAAAAAAGCTTTTATGCTGGGCACGTTAACAAGCATAGGGTTGGTAGGCACTGGGCACCGGGACTTCTGTGTGTTCTAGGAATATATGTGTCCCCTTCAGAACTGGGCCCTGCATGGCCAATTATAGGCAGGAACAGGGCTGTAATGTGCAATTTCACCCCCTGTTCTCATCCTGGTTGGGGCCATTTCTAGTCTCCAAAGCCTGAAGACACAGAATCACTGAGATGGACAGCTCTCCATGGTGAGGAGACTGCTCCCTTTCATTCAACAACTCAGGAAAAGAGGACCCCATGACTTTGGCCAACCCCTCAGCACCTCCCACAGCTCTGGACCCTTTGTGTCCCATCTTGGCCCATGTCAAGGAGAGATGATTTGTGGCCTGTATCCCCAGGGTTTTTTTTTTTCTGGTTCAGTCTCTCAACTACTGAAAGTCTCAGCTGACCCCAGGTGACAGAACCTCCAATATAGTTCTTTAAAGAGCTCTGGACCAGGCACTGGTAGTTTATACCTATAATCCCAACTAGTCGGGAGGCTGAAATTTGAGGATCATGGTTCCAAGCTAGCCTGGGCAGGAAAGTACATGAGACTGTTATCTCTAATTCACCACCAAAAAAGCCAGAATTGGAGGTGTGGCTCAAGTGGTAGAACACCAGCCTTGAGACAAAAAAGGTCAAATGAGAGCTCAAGGTCCTAAACTCAAGCCCCAGCACTGATAGAAAAAAAAAGAATTCTGCAAGGCCTGGCCTTACTCAGGAGAAGGGAAGGGGTGGTAGGTGGGTATTACAGGCCCTTCAAAGGCAGAGGGGCCTTTGCTTGGGGGCATAAAAATCAGTGAGTATCTGCTGGGCCTTTGGGAAGACAATTGTTGATGAGTGGGCTGAGAATCATCCAGGGATAGAAACAGACGTGTTTCAGATAGAGACAAGTACGACATGCGTCTGGGAAATTCTTTCACAGATCTCAACCCCTAAGATTAAGTAAACAAATATATCATGATGGCAGCTTGCCATTTCCTTGTCATTCTGCATTGTGCTCCTGGGCCTTGCTTATGGAATTATCCACAGTTCACATTT